TGTGTCAGGGAGAACTCAGTCAGAGCATGCTTACGTCTTCGAGGAATCCGACAGGATGCACCGCGTGCAAGGGGAGCTGGGAGTGCTCAGCACGCTCTCAAGAATAAGGCCCATTGATTCTAGCCATGTGCTGGAAGCTTATAAGAGCCCTTTTTAAATCGATCATTCAAAAAATTCAGTTAGTTGCAATGAATCTTCCAGCCATTAGTGCATACAAACAGTCAGTATTTGTAAAACATCATCAATGCTATAAGGGCTAAGTATCATTATTATTACATTGAGTCTAAATGTCTGGCTTCCAAGCTCACTGCATTTTTCACTGAACTCCGAATCTCTAGTAGACTCTGATGCTGCGGCTCAAATCAGTTTCTTTATGTCACATCTGGGATGACCAAGGGAACAAAATCATGTCAGAGACAATGAGCCAGATGCTCACCTGGTGTAAATCACTGAAAGGCACAGAGCTCTGCTGATTTACACCAGCTGCGGCTCTCCAGGAGTCCGTTCACTGCAGCGACAGCCTGATGCGACAATGCAGAGGATTGTTAAACAAAATGAAAGCAGATAAAGAGCTTTAGAACTAAACGCATCTAACGCCTTACACGGATACTAACAGGACATTTTACACTGGCATTGTCAGCACGGCGCACTGTTCAAAGTCTGCTTTTTTGAATTAGACTCTCTTGCTTAAATAAATGGAGACTTCAGTATATTAAATGATTTAATGCATTCTGAGCTTTTGCCAGGGATTTCTAATGAAAATGCTGTCCAATATAAAATGCTGGCTAAATTAAACGGTGAAGGGTTTTAATAAACAGCCTGTTGTTATGGTGAACTGTATTAAAGTAATATTTATCTTCATGGTAATGATGTTGCCCTGGGTTTAAACATTTTTATTCGGTTTGAGTTTTCAGATAAAATAGAAGTATTGCATTTAATTTGTCCAGATCTGCAGGGTATGTTCAATGATTGGGCCCAACCTATTGCTGGGCAAGTCAATGGAAGCCTTGGCATTGATTTCGCTGGGAGCAGGATTAGATGCGGTATTTGTTAAGCCTTGGCAATGAGTTCAGCATTGTGCAGATCACGGAGGGAAATACAGTCCCAGCCTAAAGGGGTGCACAGAATGAGCTCCCAGTCCTGCAACTGTGTCAGCAGAGACCAGTGGTCTCCAACTTTTTGAATTTAAGGGCAACCCAGGATCTACCCTGCCCCTTCCCTGAGACCCCACCCCTTCCCCAAAGCCCCGCCCCACTCACTCCATCCCCCCCCTCTGTCACTCGCTCTCCCCCACCCTCACTCACTTTCATCTGGCGGGGGTTGGGGTTTGGCAGGGGGTGCGGGCTCTGGGCTGGGGCCGAGGGGTTCGCAGTGTGGGAGGGGGCTCTGGGCTGAGCTGGGGGCAGAGGGTTGGGGTGCAGGAGGGGGTGAGGGTGTAAGCTCTGGGAGGGAATTTGGGTGCAGGAGGGGGCTCCAGGCTGGGGCAGAGTGTTGGGGTAGGGAGGGGGTACAGGGTGCTGGCTCTGGGAGGGGGCTCAGGGCTGGGGCTTGGGGTGCAGGAGGGGGCTTGGGGTGCTGGCTCTGGGATGGGGCTTAGGGCTGGGGGTTGGGGTGCAGCCTCCCACAGGGCAGCACTTACCTCCGGTGGCTCCCAGTCGGCGGCACAGTGAGGCTAAGGCAGGCTCCCTGCCTACCCTGGCCCCACGCTGCTCCTGGAAGGGGCCAACACACTCCTGTGGCCCCTGAGGGGGTGGGGCGTGGGCGGTACGTGGCGCCGTGCATTACTCCTCTCTGCAAGCACCACCCACGCAGCTCCCATTGGCCACAGCTCCCCGTTCACAGCCAATGGGAACTGTGGAGGCGGTGCTTGCAGGCAGGAGCTGTGTACGGAGGGAGCCCCCTGCCCCGCCCCGCCCCTGGGGC